AACAGGGAAGAGATCAACTTTCTATAGCTTGATAAATTTCTTCTCAGTCTATTCTGGTGATCACAAATTATTTTACACAGAAAATTATCCTGTCATGTTTTGGCAAACCAAAAGTGAGAGCTATTCAGTGACATGTTCTTCTTGGTCGCAGTGTGACACTGCTGTGCTCCCGTGGGTTACATTATCAATGTTCTTGTAGAGGGTTTTGGAATGGGTAAAGCAAAAGAAATTAGGTCTCAAAGCCTCTCCAGAAAGGAATGGATCTAAGTCTTCTCCATCAAGATAACTTGCTGTGCTAGATGGGGGAGGTGATTCAGTCAGTAACGTGCTGGCGAGGTCTGGATGCTTGGCACCTACGTAAAAAGTCAAGGGCACATCCTTGATCCAGGGCTTGGGAGACAAGGACAGGAAGGTACCCAGAGCTTGCTGGTCAGGCAGTCTGACTGAAATAGTAAGGTCCAGCGAGAGACCCTGTCTCAAAAAATAAGGTAGTCAGTGATTGAAGAAGATACCCTATGTCTACCTCTGGCTTCCACACGCATGCACACACAAAGACATACACATACACATAAATAAAAACTTTTTTTAAAAGTAGCCCTGGGCATTGCATAGTATTCAGATCAAATCTGTTTCCTGTCCCTTTCCAACAGTCACATACATTCAACCTCAGTGGTCATGGTGGGGAGACCTTCTTCCTGTTACTTCCTAAGTCTGTTCTCATACATTCAACCTCAGTGGTCATGGTGGGGACCACCTTCTTCCTGTTACTTCCTAAGTCTGTTCTCACCTTCTGCCAGGGGCAACTGGACAATGTCTGTACAAACCTTCGGGGCATCAGCATGAACAGCCATGTCTCCCCACTCATGCTGTTTATTCGGTTCACTGTTTGGCTCTGTAAACAGTATTTCCACTACATCGTTGTGCTGACCACAACAAGTCCAGTACAAAGCAGTGCTCCGAGCTTCGTCTGAGCCGTCGACACCCACTGGGTTGTCCAAACAAACACTCGTCTAGCTCAAACTGTCTCGAGTAGCATCATGCAGCTGGCAGTCAGGATTCTGCCTGCTCAGCCTCGGCACCGTTTGAAATTAGCTGAGTCCTGCCTTTGCAGGCTGCCTCCCATCAGCTGGCATCACTTGAATGAGGAATAGAGATAATGTTGCCTTCCTCAAGGTACAATCCACTTGGCTTCCTGGGTCCAGTGTCACATAGAGCTCTGAAGGCTATAACGTGCTGTAGTTTGGGAGGCAGGGTTCCCCGCAGCAGCTAAACCTAGGGACAAAAAGCCACCAGCACGCATGTTCCCCAAAGCTTTTTTTTTTGGTCTGGTGCATAAGGATGAGCCCCCAGGGCTAGTGTCCACACCTGTGAATGAGCCCCCAGGGCTAGTGTCCACACCTGCGAAGGACAGACTTCCCTACCAGTTCTTGACACCAGAGCCCCTGAAGCGATGATTTTTAAGTATTATTTTTAAATAAAAAGGTCAGTGAAAAAATTAGACAGTTTGAAATTGGGTGGTGTTGAAGAAAGAGTTCCTGCCCTTTATCTAAGGGGCCTGTGTTTAAAATCTGAGGTGAACATAGGTGTTAGGGGCTGGGCAGACAAGCCTGGACACTTAGACCATGACAGCTCCTCCTCTTTTTTTTCCTTGGTTTTCTGAGAAAGGGCTTTTCTGTGTAGCCCTGGCTCTACTGGAACTCACTCTGTAGACCAGGCTGGCCTCGATCTCAGAGATCCATCTGCCTCTGCCTCCCAAGTGCTAGGATTAAAGGCGTGTGCCACCACCTCTTGGCTAAAACATAGACTCTTTAAATGGTGCCAGCTACCCATTAAATTCCCAAAGTGACAAATAGCCCAAGGAACATGGTTTTGCCTACTTACAAAGATGAGTATTACTTTTTTTTTCAAACAAGCGAAGATTTTCTGAACCCCCATTCAGCTCTCTGGAGTCTAATGAGCTCAGAAAGGCAACAACTTCTGACCCCAGGCAGGGGGGAAAATACCAGAAAGCACTGCAATCAGAGACTGGGGAAAATCTAGGCCAGCTCTACCCCGGCATTGCCAGAAAGATTTCAGAACAGAGCAATGAAAATCACCCACAAGTTAGCTAGCTAGCAAGCACAAATATCTCCTTAAGCAGAGCCAATCCTGCCAAAAGCTTTTCAGCTTAGGTACTAGTGTCGTCGTCGTCTCTCCCCCCATCCCCCCTTCCCCCTCCCCCGTCCCCCATCCCCCCTTCAGAGGATACCCCTCCACACACACACACTTCAGACGACACCCCTCAAGAGTGCTGCAAATTTTTATCAAAACCAATTAAAAATAATGTAGTGTCCCTGATTAATGTTTGGAGCTGGACCTGGCTGTAGTCAAAACTACGGGGGAGCTGGATCTGGAACTCAGGGCCTGGCAGGACTACTGAGCCGGCTCCAGGGCAGGCCGGGTAATTTCGCTACAATCTACTCAAAGAAAAAAGGAAGGAGGGAGGCAGGGAAGAAGGAAAAGGAAAGGCGCGGTTATAGTTGGATGCCTTGCCTGACATGCAGGAGCCCTTGTTCCATTCCCCGCACAAACAAACCCCATGAAGGCTGTGCCAGCCTTTCCAAGATTTGGATTGCATTGGAGATAACTGAATTCACGAGAATTAAAACAATCCAGACTCACCAGGAGGTGGTGGCGCAAGTCTTTCGTCCCAGGACTCCGGAGGCAGAGGCAGGGGGATCTCTGTGAGTTTGAGGTCAGCCTGGTCTACAGAGAGAGAGAGAGAGTCCCAGGACAGTCAGGGCTACACAGTGAAACCCTGTCTCGAAAAACCAAAAAACGAGCCAAACAACATCCCCCCCCCCCGCGCAACACCAAAACAAACAAACAAACCCAGCCCAAATTCTCACACCAGGAGGCTCTGGCCACTTAATGCCAGGTCTTACCCGATCTGGGTCAGGGACTTGCCAGGTTCAGTGGCTGCAGCCAGCGCCACCACATCAGATAAAGTCACCCTTTCTGAGGCTCATGAGTTTCTACAGCCAGCGAGCGGTCTCGGGTAGATCTTCTCAAAGCAGACAGGCCTTTGAAGTGGTGGTTGTAAAAGGCAGTGATCTCGCAGCTTTGGATTTCCACCTTCCAGAACACGGACCATGCCGAGGGCGCCATAAAGGAGGCGAACCGCCAATGTGCAGACCGGTGGGAACTGAAATCGCCCCCGAGGGCAAGCAGTCTGACCAGCGAGCCCACCAGAAAGGAACCTGAGCTTTCCCCATAGGGTCACAGCAGCGTGTTCTCCAGAGGGCAATGGGCAGAGGCTGCCGATGTCCCCGCGGGATTTCTGCTGAGGTTCCAGACTAAGCAGCCAGGATGGCCACTGCAGGACCGCAGCTAGGACAGATCCTAATTAATGCTTCGCAATGGGGTACGAGTTCTGCCTCAAAAATTTTAAGGCTTTGGGGGAGCACCAGGGAATCTACACTGTGTAGGGACATATAGTCCCCCTCTTGTCAACACAGCCAGTCTGTTTCTGGCCCTCTGAGTTGGCCTAGTTACCATTTAAAGCATAGCCTGTCTTTAAGTTTTAAAAACCCTTTGAAAGACACCACAGACATTCTTTTTGGGGGGGGGAAGAGCCAAGGCCAGGGTGTAGTGGCACATGTCTTTAATCTCAGCACTCTGGAGGCAGAGTCCCCGGATCCATGTGAGTTCAAAACCAACCTGGTCTATATATTAAGTTCCTGGACAGTCAGAACTATATAGTGAGACCTTGTCTCAAACAGACAAAAGCTAACTTTTTAAAATGGAGATTGTGTGTGTGTGTGTGTGTGTGTTGCTATTTTTGTCTTTTGGGTGGAATTACGCTGCAAAGTTTGGCACTTCCCTTCTCTGACAGTGACTGGACTTGAATCTGTTCTTTGTCACTAGCCAAGCAAATTGTCAAACTGTTGCTTCTTGTAATATCTGTAGTTTCTGGGTGTAGATGCCATCCTGGAGGTGCAAGCCACCCCAAACTAGGACTGCACACACCTTGCTGTGTGTCCCACTTTGGATCAGCAGCTGTCTCAGGAAGAATCTTTTTTTTTTTTTTTTTTTTTTTTTTTTGGTTTGGCTGTCCTGGAACTTACTTTATAGATCAGGCTGGCCTCAAACTCACAGAGACCCACCTGCTTCTGCCTCCTGAGTGCTGGGATTAAAGGTGAATGCCATCACCAATCGGCTATTTTAGAACATTATTATTATTATTATTTTGTTTTTTCCAGACAGGGTTTCTCTGTATTGCTTTGGAGGCTGTCCTGGAACTCACTCTTGTAGACCAGGCTCATCTCGAACTCACAGAGATCTGATCTGCCTACTTCTGCCTCCCAAGTGCTGGGATTAAAGGCATGCACCACCTCCCAGCTTTTTAGAACATTATTAAGGACGAATTTTTCAGATACGACTCCTGACACTACAGGGCTCAAAAACTCAGAATTTCTGTAAGGGCATGCCTGTAAGCAGCCAGTACACAACACTAAGCTCTTAAGGATATTCTGAAAGCATGACTGCTCCTTTCTAGAGAGGAGAAAGACGATAGCAGAAACAGCAGCCTCAGGGAGGAGACACATTGCCTCTTCTGGAACTTTCCTATGGAATGGGTTTACTATAACAGCTCTGTTTCTCACGAATTTTAAAACTCTGAACCGTTGAGTAGTCCGCCTTTTTTTAAAAAAAAATTCAAACTATTTTCCAGTTACAATTTGGCGGGAACAGAAAGTTTGAAAATTCAAGCGCCGGAGACTTCAAATAACCCACATGTGATACATGCAATAAGTATTCCATTTTTAATTTATCCAGTACCCCAGTACTCAACACACAGAAATGCTGTGACTTTTGCACCCCCGAAAAAAGGGGAAAATCTAAGAGCCCTACTGCAGTTCCGGGGACATTCAGCGAACTGTTTTGTTACAAGTGTATCCAATATCCCCAGCACCAGGGACTTGTGGGGCACCGCTCATCCCTGCTTCACTCGCTCTGCAGCTTCTGGAGGTGGCGGCTGTGTCTGGAAGCAGAGCTTGCCAAGCTGGACGACAAGATGCTTCGCACCCCCAAGTGCTCGAGGTGCCGGAACCATGGCTACCTGGTGCCAGTCAAGGGCCATGCGGGCAAGTGCCGCTGGAAGCAGTGCATCTGCGATAAGTGCTACCTGATCACCGAGCGCCAGAAGATCATGGCTGCCCAGAAGGTGCTCAAGACCCAAGCTGCCGAGGAGCAGGGGTCCCAGCTGCCTCCTGGGGCTCCTGTGGTGGCCGCTGCCTCCTCGAGCTCCAGCATTTGCCCACTGCCCAGGGTGGCTCCGGGAGGCTCCGGGCCAGGCCCCGTGGCCGCCTACTTCCTCGAGAGGCCCCCGCAGGCCCGGAGCCCAAGCCCGAACGCCTTCCAGCTGGTTCCAGGCGGCCACCCGGGCCCCAGCTCCTTCCAGCCTGGCCTGGGAGGCCCCGGGGGCCCGTCCGACCGTCCCCCCGCGTGGCTGCCCCAGCTCAGCCCGCAGGTGCCCAGGCCGGAGCCCTGCGGCCCCGAGCAGCTCCTGCCAATGCGGCCCGTGCCGCGACTGCCGTTCACCGACTACGGTAAGGCCGGCCTCGTGCAGCCGAGGGTTCCCCGGGCCTGCAGCCTCCGGCTCTAAGCTGGCGTCCCAGATCGGTGCCGGGGTGGAGAGGGGGAACGTGTTCCCAGACAAGGATCGGGGTGGGTGGCTTCCGACGGCAGTGGGGACAGGCTGGCGGGAGAGGGCGGGCCGTGCAGGGGGCTTTGCGCCGGGCATGCAGTGTTCCACCTTTGTACTTTGGCAAGTAAAAATGGCAGCCGGACTGGGTTAGCGTGGCCTCTGGGGAAGACCGGGCGCACCGTCCCCTCCCCCTCCCGAGCTGGCCCTCTGCGCCTGCGTGCCCGGCCTGCCATTTTCTCCCGCGGGAGCCGCTGGTTTGAACTTGCTTTCGGGACTGCGCCTGTGCCCTCCCCTCTCGCCTGGCGGAGTCTAGAAGTTTCTCCGAACCGCTGAGTCTGGCCTGATGCACCTGTACTCGCTTTTTCTGTTTCACCGGATGTGGTTGGGCCTCAAGCATTTCTGCTACTTGGCCAGCGGGCTCCGTTGGTTCTCTAAGATGTTGCGGCTTTTTCCTCGCCTCACTTTGTGCATAAATTACAATGTTTCTTATGCCGTGTTGCTTTCACGATTAAAGTACGATTTTTTTCTTTTTCTTTTTTAATAGCCGGGTGGTGGTGGTGGCGCACGCCTTTAATCTCAGCACTGGGGAGGCAGAGCCAGGCGGATCTCTGAGTGCGAGGCCAGCCTGGTCTACAGAGCTAGTCCCAGGACAGCCTCCAAAGCTACACAGAGAAACCGTGTCTTGAAAGAAAAATTGTGGTGCATTGGTGTTTTGCCCAAATTTTCCTTTTTAAAATAATGTATTTATTTGTAGTGCACTGGTGTTTTGTCCACATGTCTATCTGTATGAGGGTGTCGGATCCCCTGGAACTAGAATTACAGACTGTTGTGAGCTGCCATGTGGGTGCTGGGAATTGAACCTGGGTCCTCTGGTGCTATAAATCACTGAGCCATCCTTCCAGCCCCTAAAGAATAGTTTCAAGTAGTGGAGATCTGAGGCGCCTGGAAAGTGGCCCACTGGGAGGTAGATGTGGTTTTGGCACTCCCCCTGTGACAGAGAGTCTCGGCTTCGCAGGCTGCTCATGTCTAACCTTGGACAAGTTTCCCTCAGTGCCAGACTTTCAGAAATCGATGCCAACGTTCTGCTATCATTTCTGTGACTTTGTAAGGATCTCTCTCCCCAAGGAACTAGCTGTTTGATGAGGAAGACAGTGAAAGAGCAATCCTATAAGAGCATACCTTTGTCCCACCTCTCAACGAACAGGAACTTAAAATGTGCTGAGCACAAGTGCTAGGAAGAGATGGGGAGAAGGCAGGCTTTGTGACTAATCGCGGCGTGTGTGTGTGTGTGTGTGTGTGTGTGTGCCTGTGTGTGTGTATGTCTGTGTGTGTGTGTATGTGTGGGTATGTGTGTGTGTGGGTATGTGTGTGTATGTCTGTGTGTGTGTATATGTGTGTGTGTGGGTATGTGTGTGTGAGTGAGTGTGTGTGTGGGTATGTGTGTGTATATCTGTGTGTGTGTATGTGTGGGTATGTGTGTGTATGTGTGTGTGTGGGTATGTGTGTGTGAGTATGTGTGTGTATGTGTGTGTGAGTATGTGTGTGTATGTGTGGGTATGTGGGTATGTGTGTATGTGTGTGTGTATGTGTGTGGGGGGGTGGATATGTGTATGTGTGTGTGTGTGTGGGTATGTGTGTGTATGTGTGTATGTGTGTGTGTGGGTATGTGTGTATGTGTGTGTGTATGTGTGTGTGTGTGGGTATGTGTGTGTATGTGTGTATGTGTGGGTATGTGTGTGTGGGGGTGGATATGTGTATGTGTGTGGGTGTGTGTGGGTATGTGTATGTATGTATGTGTGTGTATGTGTGTGTATGTGTGTGTGTGTGTGTGTGGGTGGGTATGTGTGGGTGTGGGTGGGTTTGTGAGGGTGTGTGTGTGTGTGTGTGTATGTGTGGGTATGTGTGTGTGGGGGTGGATATGTGTATGTGTGTGGGTGTGTGTGGGTATGTGTATGTATGTATGTGTGTGTATGTGTGTGTATGTGTGTGTGTGTGTGTGTGGGTGGGTATGTGTGGGTGTGGGTGGGTTTGTGAGGGTGTGTGTGTGTGTGTGTGTGTGTGTGTGTGTGTGTGTGTGTGTGTAGAAGTCAGAGGACACCTTTGATGAGTTGGTTCTTTCCTTGTACCACCTGGGTCTCTGGGATGGAACTCGGGCTGTTAGGCAGGTACAGTTACCTGCTGAGCCGTCTTGCTGGCCCTGAGGATGACTACTGAGTAGTCAGATTGATGGGTGAGAAACACTTAGACCAGGAAAGCCCCCGCTCGGGGTGCATCTGGGAGGCTTTTCCAGAGAGAGTTTACTAAGCGGGGAGGTAGGACCTGAATGTGGGTGTCACCATCTCGTAGCCTGGGTCTTGGATAGGGTGAAAGGTGACAGAAAAAGCTTGTTAGCAGGTCATTCTTTCTCAGTGCTTCCTGGATGAAATAACTGGGCAGCGTGGCTTCACCACAGTCTTGGGCCAGGATGTTCTGTCTCACTAAGACTCACAGTGGTGCCAACAGCCCTGAACTGTGAGCCTAAATAAGTCATCCCTTCTTTAAACTGCCCTGGGTATTTGTCACAGTGAATTAGTCACCTTCCTTGCCTTCTGGAATCCCGTCCTTGTGGGAAGGATAATGCCCTTCAAAGTATCCTACTAGTCAGTGTAGAGAGGTCTGGTAATGGGTGGGCCAGCTGGGATCCAACATCTGTAAAGGTCTTCAGATGGGTGAAAGCCAAGGAGTGTGGCCGGGTATCCAAGGACAGTGAGGTTAAAACCAGCAGGAGACACGCTGCTCCAGTGACTGGGTGGGAACGGCCTCACACCCGCACCGCAGGAACAGAAATCCAAACCGGGTCCAGTGGTGAGTGAGAACCACTACCCGACGCCATACACCCTCCCCAGGGTGCACAGCACTGTGGAACACAGAGGCTTTGGCCAAAGCCGATTGTCCCTCTCCAACACAATATCAAGTGAAGGCGGGAACTGAGAATTGCACGGCTCATCTCAGCGCAGGTGAGATGAGTGTGGCCTGCTAGGATCGGGTGGCGGTTACTATAGATTCCTAAGTGGTGAGAGTGCTGAGGATAGGTGACAGATGAGTGCTCGGATCCCTCTACCATCTGCACCAGGTCCCCATCATGAAGAGGGGATGGAAAGAGCCAGGGGAAGGGTGGAGCACGGAGGGCGTAACTTAGCTGTTGTAGTCGCTAACTCATGGCAGCCTGCATAAGTTTAGGTTCATGAGAACCCCACGCGTATCTAATTGCAATTACTAGTTGCTGAGCAAGGAAGAAAGACTTTTTATTCAGTGGTGTGTCCTCCCGTAAGTAACCCTCGTTAATCTTTCTGGTTCACACACAAACACAAAGAGACATTGAAGTAGAAAGGGGACAAATGGAGAAAGTATCAGTGAGAACGGGGGGGGGGGGGGGAGATAAGAGGGCATGGAGTGAACATGATCAAAATATATATACATGTATAAAAGTGTGATGAAACCCAGTGTGGTGTGAGACCTCTTTAGTTGGCTATGTCAATCTTTTTTTAAAACATTTTTTAAAGATTTATTTATTTATTACATATACAGTGTTCTGCCTACATTCCAGAAGAGGGCACCAGACTGAATTGTAGATGGTTGTGAACCACCATGTGGTTGCTGGGAATTGAACTCAGGACCTCTGTAAGAGCAGCCAGTGCTCTTAGCCTCTGAGCCATCTCTCCAGCCCCCGGCTATGTCAATCTTATGGTTACCCGGGCAATGCAAACCTTGATCCCTCAGATTTGTGTTCTCAACATTTCTCTCTTTGTCTGTCTTCTTAGGGCATCCTCTGAGATTCAGCTCTGATCATGTGGCAGGAGCTGGGTACCCTGAGAGAGAGCCTTTCAAGCAGTGCCCTGCCTGTGTCCCCATGCCATCCTACCAGCCCTTCCCTCTGGATGGCCAGGATGCGTCCTCAGCTGTGGGGATCCCTCAACAAAGAAGCTTCCGTCACGTCTCCTGTAGCCCCTACCATGGAGGCAGCTTGGTAAGTGGGAGCCCAACTCCTTTCCAAATTTGTCCTTAGCCCAGCTGTCCCTACCACTTCCGCTGGTCCTCAGCCCCCAGAGAGCCAGCTGTCATAAGGGAGGGTCTCTGGGAGTACACAGGCAGGTGATTCCCCACCACTGAGCCTGGGCTCTGGTGTCTGCTTCTCCCAGTTGGAGACCAAAAGGCACTGGGAGCCCAGGGGTGACCATGACCTTTGACTCATGCAGCGAGGCTTCTAGAAAGCCTTGATTCTGCTGAGTATCAGTGCCACAGGTCTCATGAATAAGACTTGGGATTCAGGACCAGTAGCTGGTTGCTATGGCGCCAGGGATGCTGTGCTTCAAGTCCAGGTGTTTTCTGCTATCCCAAGTGTGTCTCAGGTAGAGAAACCCTGGCTGTTGACTCTCATGGCACCATTTACTGCCCAACCTGAGGGATGTGGGTGCTCCGTTTGCCCCCTTACTACAGCCCAGGAGAGCAGGTGCCTCCAGCCTGCAGACGGAGAGAGGCTGTGACCGAGTGGAGCCTGCAGCACAGAAGCCGTCTGCTCACACTGAAGCCTGGACTTGGCATCCAGGGCAGGGCTCTGACTGACAGGCCTACCGGACACTCGTGTGAAGGGTGTCAGTCCAGTCCAGATTTGGGGCTGAGCTGTCACGCTGGCCCCAGGCAGAAAGTGTGTTCCAAGGAGAGGCTTGACTGAGAGCTTGGGATTGGAACGCTCACAGTCCCCTTCCCACCCCTGTCACGTCTGGATCCACCCTGAGAGTCAGCAGATGGTTTTCACTCATGTGCTGCCATCCTCACCACAGGCCTGAGACACACCCAGCAACATCCCCCTCTGTCCTTGTCCCTGCCTACTCACTCTTCCTAAGAAAGCCCAGCCACTGGGGTTGGACAAGCCTAGAGTAATTCTCCTTCCTCTAAGCCCGGCACCCTGGGGAGTTCTGGTCTCCAGAATCCCTTAGGGAAAGTCCTGGGCTCAGCTAAGATATGTGCGTTCCTGCTTGCCTGAATTCATGTAGCAGATGCTTGCTTTACTCCTGTCCCAAGTGCCCTGTACACAGAAGTGTAACTACCTCATGTCCCAAGTGCCCTGTACACAGAAGTGTAACTACCTCATGGGGAGCCAATCCCCCACCCCGTTAGAGAAATAAAAGAGGTGATTGACCAGCCGGCCTGGCTCACTGTCTTCCCCCTCCGTCTGTGTGTCCATGCAGGTGTCAGAACCAGCAGGAGACCTCCAGCCGGCCTACTGCTCATCGCCGCCGCCGCCGCCACCACCATCCCAGCCTCAGCAGTCCCAGTTCCTCCCGCCAGGCTACCTCTCTGCTCTCCACTACCTGCCGCCGCCACCCCCACCTCCGTCTCCACCGTCTTTCTCACTGGCCATCACGTACGATACAGACAAGGAGAATGCCAGTAAGGGACCAATGCCCCGCCTCCAGATGAGCTGGGAGGACTCTGGAGGTCATCTGAATTGGGGTGGAGAGAGGGGCTGGGCTGAGCTCTTTCCCATGGCTCTCTCATAGTCTATATGCACACACCAAGGAGGTCAGAAGGGACTAGAAGGGGCTTCTCTGTCTGATCTCATGCAGTACTATTTCTCTAACAACTCTGTGGGCAAGGTGTGGGGGAATTGTGACCTCGGTGTGCTCAGTAGATCAGAGGATCCCAGATCTAGTCATTGGAGGTGCCACTCTGGAGACACCATCGTTGTCATCCCCCAAGGGGATGGATGACAGGAGCTAGCGAGTCTGCCTGGCAGCTTTGCCACGGCTGCCTGGGAGACCTGAGCACGGAACCTCCGGTGTCCCCTCATAGCACTTCCGCCCTCACAGGGTCAGCAGGCCTTTGGGAGTTATGAGGGCTTTGCAATTTGTTTTTAATTTCTTAGAAAATTGATATTTTATTTGTGTGCATATGTACATGCATATTTGTATATGTGTGTGGGGCGGGTGAGCATCCAACTACATGAGCAAAGAATAACCTTGGGAGTTACCTTCAGGAACATGGTCCATCTCCTTTGAGACAGGGTGTCTCATTGTCATTGACCTGGGGCTCATCAGTTAGGCTAGAGTGGCTGCAGGGATCAGGAGACCCCCATCCCCCCAACCCCCCATCCCCATCTTCCTAGCCATCGTGCTTCTCTCTCTCTCTCTCTCTCTCTCTCTCTCTCTCTCTCTCTCTCTCTCTCTCTCTCTCTCTCTCTTTTTTCTTCCTTTTGTTTTTGAGGGCTCTTTTGGCTTTGGCTTTAATGTTTCTTTTTATTTTCTTTTTAACTTGTGTGATTGAATATGTATGTTTGCTGCATGTGGGAAGAGGCCAGAAGAGGGGGGGCATCAGGTCCCCTGGAGCTGGCGTTACAGGCAGTTAGTGGTCCAGCATAGATGCTCGGTTCTTAAGCCCTGAGCCACCTCTCAGCCCAGCTTTAGACTTTCTAAGGCTTTATTCCTTTCACTCTTCTGAGCTTCCATGATTTTGAAAAAGTTGGCAAATTCAGAATTCTTTAATATAAATATCCAAACTGTCCAATGAACTGTGTGAGTCTGGTGATATCCAGTTTTACTCAAAAGGAAACTGAGGCCCATAACACACTTGCCTCGTGGCTGGTGCAGTGTGGCTTGAAGCTCGCTGGCTGGTAGACTGAGCAGACACTTTGTTCTTGCCTGCACTGGCTATGTGACCTTGGACAAACTCCTGCTCTCTGTGGCGCTTCAGGTCCAGCACCTGCCAAAGAGGACAATAGTGGTCTCTGCCTCATGAGACTCTTCTGAGGGTAAACTAAACAGAAGCCAGCAAGGCACTCATGAAACTAGCTGCCCTTACTGTTCAGCGATGGTCTTGTTACAGAAGGGCGTCCATAGCTGGGAGAAGCAGCAATGAAGAACCAGACTGGATGGGGACCAGGGCTGTTCCATGTGGCCAGGGCTGGAAGCCAGTCTCTGCCCAGCAAACGACAGCAGTTACTACTCTGCACAGAGGCCTGGGAACAAGAGGAGGCCTGGTAGAAAACCTGCATCTGAGAACCGGAGACTCAACCTCTTTCTAAACCGGCTGCTTTCTTTGTCCTTTGCAGATGCTCAGGATGCAGCAGGCCCCAGAGAGTCCAGCCAGCACTCCCCCCAGGAGCACTCCCCCCAGGAGCACACTTCCCAGGAGCAGTCCAACTAAGCTGCAGGCCTCCTCAAGGGCCACTGGATGGGGAGGGGCATATACGACAGCAATTATTGTTCTCGCCTGTGTTCATGTTTTATAGCGAGGAAAGATATTGATAGGGATAAAATGGCAGCTAATTCTGATTTCAAGACAGGAGGAGGCATTTGGTTTCTAGGGTTCTCTGGACCCTGTCTGGGTGTTGAAGTGGTGTGTGAAGGGAGACAGTGTTCGGGTCGGGCAGGGCCTTTGAAGAGTGGGGGCTGGGGAAACACAAGTTTGGGAATGAATTTAACCATCCTGGGCCATGCCACTTATGAAATTCACCTCTACAGGTGGCCTCTGATTTCCCCAGCCTCACACAGGACAGAAGGCACTATCCATTTCAGCCTTCTGCCCACTTTGTCCGATCCCCAGGGCTGGGCACCAGACATTAAGGCTTTCAGCCTACACAGGGCTGGAGCCAGGGACTGGGGTGTTGACAGCAGGTCCTGCAGCACCCCTCCTTTGCTCAGCCGTCGCCCTTGTCCTTGTCCAGCTAGTGAACGCCCGCGACTGGGCCACTTCACTCTGAAGTTTAAGCAATGGCAGGCTCCTTTCTCATTTAAAGTTTTTGGTTTTAGCGTTGAATGCTTTTAGGGTAGGAAACTCATAGGCACTGAAGCAGTTCTCGGAGCATAAAATGGTGGCTTGTTCTCTGAGGACAGTTAAGCGTTGAATAAAGCGAGCATCAGAAACCCTTGTGGAAGGCTTCTCTGTTTAATTCTCACAGAAGACTTTGGGGCCAGAGCCTGGCTGGGGAACTTGGGGTGTCTGGGTTCAGGGTTCACGAGCGCTGAGACGAATCCCCCTGGCCTGCCTCTGTTGCTCTTGGCCTTAGGAGTCAAGTGAGATGGTCTGAAGCAGGCTACATTTCCGTAGTCTAAGTGCCCCAGGAAGCTTCACACTGGGGACCCTCCAGCCTCAGCCTCCCCACTGCCATCATGAGCAGCGAGAGCTTAAGGGATAGATCTAAATGTTTTTGAAATGTCTAGCCTATCCTCCCCTGCTCTAGCTCCTTTTATGGTCTCAGCGGAGGAACATGGTTAAAAACAGAACTCAATCCTATTCTGCTATAAGGAGCCTGAGCCGTTTTTCCTCTCCCAACACCTGTTCCTTCTGCAAAGCGACCCTGTTGCAGATAAAACGCACTGGGGAGTGATTGCCCAACGTGTGAGGCTCTGGTTCTGAAGAAAAATGAAAGCCTTTGTTAGCGAATTTGGACCTAGCAGTGTCTAAATGGCTCTAGTACCAGGCACAGAGATGGGCAGGGGATGGCTAGAGAAAGCCTAGTTTACCTGAGGTGCTAGAATGAGTAGGTAAGTAACCCCCATGGGGGCCAGGAAGGAGGGGCCTGGAGTGAAGGATCCTGGGGTAAGGACAGGGCTGGTACCCAGGAGAGCACTCTGACCACACAGTTGTCTATGTCCAAGAATACACAAGAGTCCAAGCATTTTTTTTTAGGTCCTAGGTCAGATGCAGCAGGGTATTAGCTTTCTGAGAAAGTCCCTTCTGTAAGGGTTCCTGTCCACAGGTGCCCAGGAATTTAGGAGAGTTTCTCAGTTAACTGGGTCTGTTACTCCATGATCCAGAGATGGCTCAACATCTTTTGATTTTGGGGTACCAAGTGAGGTGGGCAGCCTGTTGTGATGCTACCCCCTCACTGGTTTGAGGTAGGAGGCTCACCTCCTGTCGATTGTCAGTCTGAAGCTGCCCTTTATTAATTCTGTGAGGCCTACCACAGTCATAGCTCTCTAGAAGTGGGGGATACGTACACCCTGAAGCCTTCTGGACAGTACAATATTCGTTCCTTGAATACCCCGCTGGTCCAGCAGTAGCACAAGTTACTGCCTTCCTTGCAAGCTAGCCTGGCTCCAAACCACTGAATAAGAACTGACATTTTCACTGTGACCTGCTGCCCGCCTGGCTACCTTTCTCTGCCTTGCTACCCAGAACAGTCGCTGGAATGGGAATAAAGGGGCCAGACTTAAGCAGAACGATGTGGAATGAGATCTGGGTCCAGAGGTCAGGCTGCCACTCAGTTAACTCTAAGCAAGAATATACCGGCTCATCAACCTTCTTGGGCGTCGGATGCAGTAGCAGGATGCGGCCACGGGAGGGCGAGCCGGGTCGTAACTAGAGGCGGGGTTTGTTGCCTACCAACAGTCTCTGCCTTGGTGGGGCTCACTCCGTGTAACTCAAAGAATTGGGGGAATTCTGGGGCGCGGTTGTTGAAGCAGCCCTCGGAGATAAGAGATTTCACTGAAAAATCAAAACTATGAGCCCCTGTGATCTATGTGATCCTCCATGATCCTCTCCTGGGAGGCACTAAAGCCAAATTACAGACGACAAAAACGGAGGCCTATGCAGGTGAGTTCCTGTCCTTAGCCGTAATGTCTGCGAGGGGAGAGTGGATTAATTTCCAATTCCACCCGAGTTCAAAACCAAGTGCCTAACTGCACTGTGCCCTCCTTCTTGCTTCTCGGGGTGACCACTGAGAATCTTGGGGCGATGTGGTAGCCCTCCTCCAGTGCTTTGATGCTCAGCGGCCAGGTGTCAATGGCTGTCAGCAAGCGATGCGATGATTAGCACAGGTTTTTACACAGGAATAAATAATTTTAGAAAACTCCAAACGGGTTGGAAGGATGGCTCAGCAGTTAAGAGTGCTTACAGCTCTTGCAGAGCACCCAGTTCGGTTCCCAGCACTCACAGGTGTCTCACAGCTCACCTACAACTCCAATTCCGAGGGCTCCAGCACCCCCGGCCTCGTGAACGCCTGCATGTATGTATGTGGCGCGTGTAAACTCGGCAGGCATACACACAGAAGCATGAATGAAGATAAGTAAACACACCTGGAGAGAGACGACTTCCAAACTCATGTAAAACATGACTTTTTAAAACAAGTGATTAATAATTTAAGGTAGATGAGGCAAATTTTCAATATGAATGCTTCCAGTTCAAATGTAACCTAAGAAACAGTTTTGTGTCTGTTTGCCTGTCTGTCTGTCTGCGTTTTTGAGACAGTATTTCACTATGCAGACCAGTTTTAGTTCAAACTTAAAATCCTCCTGCTCCAGCCCCTCAGGGCTGGGATTACAGACGCTCACTGTTAGACTCTGCTATAGAAAACGGTTTTGCTTTTTGTTAATGTTCCCTGTGTCATTTCTTCATGTTCTCCAGGCAGTTGTTATTACAGTGTGTGTCTGATGTCAGTTACATGTACACGTGACATGAACCACTTTTAGGAATCTCCACGAAGCTCACGCAAGCCCTCAGGTTCTGCCCACCAAGCCATATCCAGTCCTCTCCAGGATACTTTAAAAATGATTAGTTGTAAGTTTAGGCAACACCTAAAAGTAGTAAAAGTTTAAGGTAGGACTGGGACCTCCCTTGCCGCCCTCCTTCCTGTCTCGTTCTGGGCATGGCTTGAACATGCGCAGGTTTTCCTCTTTGGCATGAGGATATTTTCAGGGTCTTCGCAACTGTGAGGGATAACTCGGGGGACCGTCTGTACACCCCTGACCAGCTTCCCTCCCATGGCGTTGTGAAGCAGTACCACGCCGATGGTGTGCTGCCCAGTTTGCTCGTGGGCAGCTTCACGCTTCATGTCTGAGCCCATTTAGCTGAAGGAAAGGGTTTGGTTTGGGGTATGTGGATGTCTAATTGCTCTAGTCTCTTCCATGGCATCTTACGCCTTTGTAGAAAGCCAAGTACATTTGAGGGCCTGTTTGGGATTCTGTGTTCTGTTCCAGGCACATTTGGTCATCTTCACTCTCCATCTCCCTTCTCTTTTTCTTTCACTTTTGAGACAGGGTCTCACATAGCCCAGGTTGACCCTGAAGTCTCTAATCAAAGATGACCTTAGACTCCTGGGCCTCCTGCCCTCACCTCCATAGTTCTGGGGCTGCAGGTGTATGCCAACACGCCCAGCTGGGATCCTTTTCTTAACCATGCACAGTAGCAGAAGATTGACACTGATTTTCCATGCCACTGTGCTCCTGTGTCATGGACATTTGTCCGTTGGTGAGGTCATTAACAAAGCCTCTCTCACAGCAGCACTTATGGAAAAAAAAAACCACTCATGAGGTTACAGAGGAAACCAGTGACGTTTCATACACCTGTCAAAACAGAGACGTACCTACGTGTACTTCTGGACTAACACACCAATAACAAGACTTAGTAGCGGTTTGCTAGTAATACCTTAAAAGTACAGCTGCAATGACTTCCCTCAGATACTCACAACAGTGTAAGGTGAGCTGAGAATGTCTAAGACTTCTATCCATGACCAGGTCACACTTAATCATCTTGGACTTATGACTTCCTTGCATCATTGAAGGAAGCAGTGGCTTACAGGTAGAGGTTAGTGACAAACAAGACAATTCTTTTTGGCAGAGCCTTTCATTCCCCTGAATTCTAGTCGTTACCTTTTGTATCGGAGCTCAGAGAGCTGCATAGTTTCTTCATTCTTTTTGTTTTTGTTTTTTGATGCAGGGTTTCTCTGTGTAGCCCTGTCTGTCCTGGAACTCACTCTGTAGACCAGGCTGGCCTCGAACTCACAGAGATCCTCCTGCCTCTGCCTCCCGAGTGCTGGGATTAAAGGCGTGCGCCACCAACGCCCGGCTAGCTTCTTCTTTCTTACCATTTGTGTAGTATTTTTTTCTCTTTTTCTGTATAGTATTTAATTGAATAGAATTTTCGTAGTGCATGTGACCAGTCTCCTACTTGTTTCTAATCTTTTATTTTTGCAGATAACTTAATTTGTTAGTGGTTTCTTCCGGGAGGGCCACCGCGCTGACCCCTTTGCCTCCAGCAACCCTAGGCTGGTGGTAGCCAGCCAGTCTGGGCTACAAAGGGAATCTGGCAAGCCCCGGGCCCAGCTTTCCTTCCTGGGGTTTCCCACTCCCTTCACACAGCCTCGCTGGGCCCAGCACTGGGTTCCACCGCTGCGCTCTGGAGCCAGCCATAGGGTAGGTGGCCTGCAGACGCATCCCCAGGCTGAGCAGCATCCTGCCAGCAGATGTAAAACTCCTCTGTGCCTTTGTGCTATATTTTATTAACAGCAGATCACAGGACACGGACATTTTATCATGTCAGCTTTTGCATTTGAGCTAGCACAGGCACTGGCCTGTGAACCATTAACTGCTGGGTGGTGTTTCTTCTTCATCTTTTTCTTTCAAAAATGAGAATCAGAAAATCTGTTTGCTGGCTCTCTCTTCCTTTCCTCCTTTCTTTCCTTCCTTCTTTCTTTCTTCCTTTGTCTCTCTCCCTCTTTTCCTCCCTCCTTCCTCTCCCCTTCTCCATCCCTGCATTCATTCCTTCCTTCCCCCATCTCTCTCTGTTTTCTCTTTCTCTTTACTTCGTCTTGGCCCCAGATCCACCCATGGAACACTCATGTAGACCTGGCTGTTTCGAACATTCACAGACCATCATCTTCAGGTCCGGTCTGGTTACCAGGCAAGTACTGACTTGCCTCCCAGTGTTGTCCAGCACTTCAGCAACAGCTGCCCTCGAGGAAAAGAGAGATCATTGCACTTCATTCCGATGTGTGAAGTGTACGTGGCTTTGAAACTTGCCACTCCAGTTGTCAGCCACTAATTAAGTCAGTGTTTCTCTACATCTGGCTCTTGGACTTTTTTTTTCCAATTTGGAGTGAATTTTTTACTACCATGGCATAGTCACATCAGTCATGGAGTGATGTCAGCCACCATCTGCAACATCAGACAGGGCCTATGTTCCATTTACAGTGTCAGTACATTTATTGGGCGTCTACAATGTACCAGGCCTTGTGCTGGGCTCTTAGGACAAGACGGATGTGTGTCACCCACACCAGCTTCCTATTACCTAGGGCTGAGTTAGCCGCATATAAAACTCCTTCCGTCTGCCATGATGGCCTGCGAAGCCTCCTAGCCCGGCCCAGCTGACCACTGCAGGTGTCTCCATGCTTGGCTCTGTTGCATTAGTATTTCCCTAGATGCCCCCAAGCATTTCTCTCGAAGTGCCTTACCGTTTAAATCCAGATGGCCCTCCCCTCGACCTCTTCACTGAATGGAGCCTCTTCTCAGGAGCCAGCCTCTCTCCCCTGCTGTCAGGTGTACCTCGAGTGTCTCTCCCCAGGAAGCCATTGTTTGTGTCTCCTCTTGGGCTCCTGGCACGTGAGGGTCACATCTAACCTACACTTTGGGGTTACCAACAACATCGCCCTGTGTCCTTTCATTTGTACACATTCATCTAGGCCAGCGGTTCTGTGGGTTGCAATCCCATTTGGGGGTGGGGGTGGGGGTGGGGAAGGTCAAATGACCCTTTCACAGGGGTTGCCTAAGACTATTGGAAAATACAGATGTTTACATTAAGATCCATAACAGTAGCAATGGACATAATGTTATGGCTGGTGTCACCACGTGAGGAACTGTGTTAAAGGGTGGCAGCATTAGGGAGGTTGAGAGCCACTGCTCTAAGCCTCCAGCTGGCATGGTCCCCAGTGATTTCTGCCTTGTGCCTGGTCTGCCTTCCCTGGACTGTGGGCATCCAATCGGGTTCTAGACGCCCCCACCTTTCACGGATGTCGTTTCTCTGGGCAGCTTACTCAGATTCATGTCCTTATTTCTTATCTTAGTGCCGTCTCATTTTATGTCAGTCTGACACAAGCTGAGAAAAGAGGGACTCTCAATTGGGAACGTGCCCCTGTATGAGCCAGCTGTGGGGTATTTTCTTAATAAGGGAGGAGAGCCCAGCCCACGGTGGGTGGTGCTAGCCCTGGGCAGGTGGTGCTAGCCCTGGGCAGGTGATGCAGGGTTCTATAAGATAGCGGGCTGAGCAAGCCAGTAAGCAGCACCGCTCCATGGCCTCTGCATCGACTCCTGCCTCCAGGATCCAGGCCTGCGCGAGTTCCTGGCCTGACGTCCTTCAGCGGCCTGACGTCCTTCAGCGATGGCTGTGATGTGGAAGTGTAAGTTAAACAAGCCCTTTCCTCCCCGACTTGCTTTTGGTCATGGTGTTCATCGCAGCAATGTGAGGCGGCATCAGCTGTCCACACAGTCTAGAGCGCACGAGAGGAGGACACCTCAGCCGAAGAGTCACCGCTCTCGGATGGCCTTGGGCACATCTGCGGGCGTTTTCTTGATGGCTGATTGATGCAGGAGGGCCCAGCCCCCTGTGGGCGGTACCCGTGGGCCTGGGCTGTGTAAGAAAGCAGGAGTGAGCCAGGAAGCTGCTCCTGCGTGCTTTCTGTGTCAGTTCTTGCTTGAGGTCCAGCCCTGACTTCCCTCGGTGATGGGTCCTGACCCGAAATGGAAGCAGACAAGCCCTTTCCTCCCCAGGCTGTTTGGGTCAGTGTTTCACCACAGCAATAGAAAGGAAGCCAAACTCCTCCACACCTAGCACAGGGGCTAGCCTAGACTACCCTGTGTTGCTTTCGTCAGCTGAGTCTGTCTAACTGCGTGTCTGAAAGACATCCAGGCATCTCCAAAGTGTTAGGGAACGGGCCACAAAGCCCGTGCACATGGTGTCATTTTAGGGCAATATCACTTGAGTCCCTTTCCCACTCAGCCTGGTCTAGAGCCTGAGCCAGATGGCAGGGGTGGGTGAGAGCAGTCCATCTGTGGAGCTGACATATTGGCTGTATGTAGTCACCATGTCTGTAGCTGACGGACAAGACAGGATGAGTAACCACTACTTTCTTCTTCTCGAAGCCTCCAGGCTCCCCAGTTGGGGTAGTTCTACACTCACAGGTGCCTGGGTTCTTCCTGCCAGGCCCGAGGTTACCCCATCTTTGCTGCTCTCGCTGAGGACTATTATCTGATATGAGAGCCCCTCTCCCTGACCTCACAGGGCCCGGCTCATGAAGAGTTCTTCTTTCCCTAGTGTTTAGCTGAGCCCAGTTCCTCCCTGGTGACCAGGACCATTCACCTAGCCCTGTGGCTACTCCTTGTCCGTCAGGACAAGATACTGAGCACAGACAGAATGTAGCCTTCATTTCTAATTTAGTGGAATTACAACTGCTCTTCCATGCAAGAGACCCTGGAACTCTTATAAAGGAAAACACTAATTCAGGCTGACTTACAGTTCAGAGGTTTAGCCCATTTTCGTCATGGCAGCATGCAGGCAGACATGGTGCTGAAGGAGCTGAGAGTTCTACATCTTGATCCGAAGGCAGCAGGACCAACTCTGACACTGGATGTAGCTTGGGCACAGGGGACCTCAAAGTCCACTCCCACAGCGACACACTTCCTCCAACAAGGTCACACCCTCTAATAGTGCCATTCCCTATGGGGGGCATTTTCTTTCAAACCACACCTCCTAAACCCAAGGCTATTGTCTTGGGCTGGTCCTCAAAAGCAACCCCTAGGGCTGGAGAGATGGCTCAGAGGTTAAGAGCACTGACTGCTCTTCCAGAGGTCATGAGTTCAATTCCCAGCAACCACATGGTGGCTCACAACCATCTGTAATGAGATCTGGTGCCCTCTTCTGATGTGTAGATGTACTTGGAGGCAGGGTGTTGTGTTTGTAATAAATAAATAAATCTTAAAAAAAAACAAACCCAAGATGAGGTTTCGTGCGCAAGTGCTATGCTAAAGATATGATTGGGATGGGGGCAGGGCAGAGGAGGGCAAGAAGTAAAGGAGGTCTTGGCCTCTGCCTGAGCCAAGGCAGCCGCAGGGGAAGCTGACTTGAAACTGTGTCACTCGTGGGCAGAGGAGATTCTGTACCTGCTGAGAATTCAGATGCGACTGTGGGAAGCAAAAACACAAAATGCAGGGGCACTCCAAAGATGGCACTAGGGCATCTGGGCACAGTGCCAGAAAAACCTGCCATGCCCGAGTGGGGATAATTGGACAAAGAAAGGCTGGGCTGTGGTGAAGCCCACTCAACTGTATGACTGCACCAGGAGCCATGAAATTCTACGGTAGGTAAGTTAGAGGCTGGGCTGTGATACATGGAATTGTACAGTAGGTAAGTTAGAGGCTGGGCTGTGATACATGGAATTCTACGGTAGGTAAGTTAGAGGCTGGGCTGTGATACATGGAATTCTACGGTAGGTAAGTTAGAGGCTGGGCTGTGATACATGGAATTGTACAGTAGGTAAGTTAGAGGCTGGGGCTGTGATACATGGAGTTCTACGGTAGGTAAGTTAGAGGCTGGGGCTGTGATACATGGAATTGTACAGTAGGTAAGTTAGAGGCTGGGCTGTGATACATGGAATTGTACAGTAGGTAAGTTAGAGGCTGGGCTGTGATACATGGAATTCTACAGTAGGTAAGTTAGAGGCTGGGCTGTGATACATGGAATTCTATAGTAGGTAAGTTAGAGGCTGGGCTGTGATACATGGAATTCTATAGTAGGTAAGTTAGAGGCTGGGCTGTGATACATGGAATTCTATAGTAGGTAAGTTAGAGGCTGGGGCTGTGATACATGGAATTCTACGGTAGGTAAGTTAGAGGCTGGGGCTGTGATACATGGAATTCTACGGTAAGTAAGTTAGAGGCTGGGCTGTGATACATGGAATTCTACGGTAGGTAAGTTAGAGGCTGGGCTGTGATACATGGAATTCTATAGTAGGTAAGTTAGAGGCTGGGCTGTGATACATGGAATTCTACGGTAGGTAAGTTAGAGGCTGGGCTGTGATACATGGAATTCTACGGTAGGTAAGTTAGAGGCTGGGGCTGTGATACATGGAATTCTACGGTAGGTAAGTTAGAGGCTGGGGCTGTGATACATGGAATTCTACGGTAGGTAAGTTAGAGGCTGGGCTGTGATACATGGAATTCTACGGTAGGTAAGTTAGAGGCTGGGGCTGTGATACATGGAATTGTACAGTAGGTAAGTTAGAGGCTGGGCTGTGAGGAAATAGTGTGTGCCACACGATACTGGACTTTGTTTTAAACACCTGCCTTTCTTATAGGCAAGTCCCTACAGCACAGGGAGCTGTCTCCCAGCTAGTGACTGGAGTCATTTTCAGCAGGCCATACCGCTCTCCTCCTCGGCTCGCCACCAGATGCAACTCTGCTTTGCTCACTATTAATTGAGTTCCTGAGTCAGAGGCCTTACAGTTGATGATAGACAAGGTATCCTGTAGGGCTCCAGATGGCCACATTGGCAGAAGTCTCTGGCCCAGAAGCCCTATCGAGAGACCAAGAGAACTAATTGCTGCCACCTTGTGGTGGAAAGCTCATGGTATAATCAGCTGGCTGTCACTGGTTTCCTGAGAGCAATGGAGATAGGGGTCAGGACGACACTAAGGAAGTAACTAAGGATATACGAGGTCATAAGAGCAGGCCCAACTGGCGGTGGTGGCGCACGCCTTTAACCTCAGCACTCGGGAGGCAGAGGCAGGAGGATTTCTGTGAGTTCGAGACCAGCCTGGTCTACAAGAGCTAGTTCCAGGACAGCCTCCAAAGCCACAGAGAAACCCTGTCTCGAAAAACAAAAACAAAACAAAACAAAACAAAAAAACAAAAACAAAAACACAAAAGCCCAAATCTAGTAGAATCAATGCCTTTGTAAGAAAAGACACTAGAATGGCCTCTTTCCTTCCACTGTTCCTCCTCCTTTCTCTTTCTCCTCCCTTTCTTTGCCTCCCATTATGCACACAGGGGTCATGAGAACCAAGTGTGGTGGCCCATACCTTTAATCCCAGCACTTAGGAAGCAGAGGCAGGTGGATCTCTGCGCTCAAGGCCAACCTGGTCTACAGAGTGACTTCCAGTCCAGCCAGGGCTACATAGTGAGACCCTGTCTCAAAAGTAAAAACAAAAGCAAAGGTGTCATGAGAACCACAGTAAGATAGAGGTCACCAAGGAACAAGAAGCCTTTGAATGAGCTAACATGTTGTTTAAGACATTCCAGCGTGAAGCATTTTGTTATAGCAACCCATGAAGAGTGAGCCCCCTCCCTTGCTCTCATGGGTATTCATGAGTTCATCAGACCTGGAGAGAACTAGCGGGGAGGGGTTGACTGACACCCAACAGAATGGTTGTTCTCATTTTCCCAATTAGTTTCCAACAGTCTCTGCTACAAGAAGACTTGAGACATGAGGGACTTCTTGCACTGCGACCCCATGGAGAGGTCAATCTATCTGCCTACTTATTTGCCACCAGCTTTCCAATCTCCTTTTGTCCAAGTTCCTGGCCACTCAGAACCCCCTGACCATGAATTGGTCTCCTTCCACTCAAGTGGACCATCAGGGGAAGCTTTGCTCAGAGGGAGCAAAGCTCTTCATTGTCTTTGGGTGCAGGCCCTGAGGGGAGGGCCAGTCCTTTTGGCAAGTGCTAGCATAGCCTCACACCCATTGTGACACCAGTCTCCCTGAGGGTTTTCTTCTGTTAACTAGCTGAAGGGAATTCCTTGGAAGAGACTAGAAAGCAGCAGGAGCAGAGTCCAGGCCGAGCAGCCTCACTGTTGCCCTGTGCCATGTTTCAAATGCTGGAGATGGCGTCCTGACTCTGCACAGTTGGCCTGTGCCTTTTGGTCCCATCGTTGAATGCTGGAGATGGTGTCCTGACTCAGTGTCCTGACTTAGCAGTAGAGATAGTCTGCAGGGTGGATGCTGTGATTTAGAGGAACAGATAAAACCCAGTGTATTAGCTACTATTGTTGCTTAACAAATGACTAGCAGCATGGTGACTTAAACCAATGATTTATTATCTCGGTCTCTTTATAATTACCAGGAACTGGGTGAAAGTCTGCCTGGGTTCATTCATTGTCCTGGGCCTTAGCTTAGCCAAAATCAAGATGTCAGCTAAGCAGCTATCCCAGTAAGGATGGCATCCTTTTCCAAGTCCATTCAAGTTCATGGCTGATCCTTGTAGCCGGAAGTCCCAATTTCCTGCTGGCAGCCAGCTGGGAGTCATTCCCAACTCTTAGAGGCTACTGTCTGGTCCTTGCCTGGTGGCCTCATCATAGCAGCTGCTTCATCAAAGCCAGCCAGCCAGCCAGTCTCTCTAGTCTGCCA